CCTCTCGAGTCTCTCAGTTTTTTCTTATAGTTTTGTGTTTGTCTTTCAGGATGTTAGGGAAATGTTTATCAGAAGCTCTTCAACTGTCTTCTCCTGTGGTCTTCTGGGATCCTTCCTGTTCCAGAATTCCCATAATCCTCAGATTATTCTTCTTCATGTTGTCCCACATGAATTTTAGACTTTCTTCAGATTTTTTTAATCCTTTGTCCTGCTTGTTCTCCTATTTTACCAGTATTGAGTGATTTGTCTTCAAGCTCACTGGTTCTGGCTTCCACCTCTTCACTTCTACTCCTTTGCCCTTTCAAGGTATTCTCCATTTCTGATATTTTATTATTAATTGTTTGGACCTCTTTTTGCAGGTCTTAATTGTTTCCAATGCTGTATCTATCTTACTTGACTGTTCTTATAGCATTTTCCTGACTTCTTCCTATTTCTCTCAACTCCTCAGTGGAGCATTTGGATGCACCTCAATATAATTTTCATGAATTCCTTCTCTGGCTGTTCAAAAGACTGTCTTCCTTCCAATGGGAAGTCTAAGTCTACTTCCAGCTCATTTGTTTCAACTACTCTGTCTTGTTTCTGGACATGTGCTGAGATCTTCAGTTGTTTTCAGTAATAAGATGTATTTTTAATGATTAGATGAGTGTATGTTGGTGTATTATTGAGCTTTCTGATTGTCTTCAGGTCGATGTGGTCAGGAGATGGGCTTCCCTTTTCACTTCTCTTATTACTCAACTCAGAGTAATTTTAGCAATTGTTGGCTCTCTATCTAGCGTATAGCAGCTAGTATTGACTCTTGCCCGGATGGTGGGATTTTATTGGGTGTGACTGTAGCTTAGCTATATGACCACAATTGCTATCTCATCTTGGGTAACATAGGGAAAGAAAGAGGTCCGTTCCCCCCCCCCCCCCCCCCCACGTAAAAGGGGACCAAAAAACAAAAACACAGATTGTACACTAATGTCTATAATCATCACACAATAAAATAAGAGAGAGAGAAAGAAGCCTGTGGGAAAATATAAGTAAGATTTTAACGCCCCTGTCTTGGCTACTTGCCTTCAAGACCACCTGAAAAAAATTCAAGATTTTACCATTGCTCTTTATGAGATAACTCAAGATTTAATTTTTGACCTCTTTCCTTTTTTGTCTGTCTCCATCTCCTCAAGCTCATTCAGGTGTTTCTACTAGTGAGAAAACAGCCCAGGGCTGGCTCGAGCCATTTTGGGAGATCCTTCTGTCTTAAGCTGTTCCTGTTGACTCTTCCCCTTCTTTAATTCTGTGCCCAGTGATCTTTGCTGATCTGATCTGTGTGCATGTGTAGTCGAACCCTCTGGGGGCAGGGGAGTATTCACTCGCTCAGGCAGCCCTCTACACACTCTTAAACTAAACTCCCTCTTGAAACCTTGTAAGCCAGTCACTTTGTGCCTTTACTGCCCTCTCATCTTAGGTAGCCATTATCTAAGTTGCCCATCTCTATTGACCCTGTGTACAGAGGGAATAGCATTGATACTTGATGTGAAAATTCCTTCCCTGTCTGTAGGTATTTAGAGCTACTACCTCCATGAGTAAGGAGCTCTGATAGCGTAGTGGTTACGAATCAGCTTGCTAACCTCAGGGTCAGCAGTTCGAAACTACCAGTTCCGCGGGAGAAAGATGAGGCTTTCTGCTCCCTTAAAGATTTACAGCTTTGGAAACCCTGTACAGGGTCACTATGAGGGGTGGAACCTACTCCATGGCACATAACAACAACAGCACCTTCATGAGCATAAGTCAAGTTCATCAAATTGTAGCAGGTTACCCTTGTTTCCTTTATCAAGTGACTAGCTTACAAGGTTTGAAGAGAGAGTTTAGTTTAGGAGTATATGGGGGAAGAAAGAGTCCCCACTGAATAGTTGTCTAGATGGGTCTGGTAAAAAGAGATGGGGTAAGATTCATATGATTCAACAGTGAGTAGTTGTGGAGGTGCACAGACAAAAAAAAATGTTCACATCTTTATCTTCTACGATTGGTAAGACCCCTGCGATGGGCGCTCCCTTCAGTTCTTGTATCAGCTCTGTGATACCCATGATGGCTGCTCCAGGACCCACCGGGAGCCACAAATCATAAAACGCCACTTTTCTTGCTTTTTCTAAAAATCTCACTAGCAGTAAGCCTTCTACCCTTCTAAATATTTCTTTCTATGTAGTTCTGAGTTCTCGGACTGTCCCCTGAACTTGCTTTGTCCAGTATTCTGTATTATTACTGGTGGAGATCTGCGCACGGTGCCCCTCTCTAATCTGCCATCAAGCCGGAAGTCCCCTGTTTCAAACTTTTCATTCAACTAAAACATTATCAAAATAAAAGTCAATATGTCAGTCTCCTTTCACCTCACCCAAAGCAGGAATTAGTATGTCGTAGATAATCACTAGTATTGTTAGAAAACTTGAAACGATAAATGCTTAAAGAGGTTATTAATTAGTAAGATGAACTTTAATAAGTAGAGTAAGTTTTATTATGAGTGAATTTTAGAATATTATATGAAAGTTAAAAAAAGAATTATAATCACAAATAAGACAGTTATTATTCGTTATTATAAAAGTAGCTCTTAACATTTTTAGAATGGTGTATTTTGCCAATATAAAATGTAAGTTCTTAGCCTTATTAATATTTTTTTAATGTTTTATTGTGAATTATGTGATAGTTTACACGGGAGAACATTAGCTTTACATTCATCCTATCGTATATCATTTGATTGCTGTGATTATAATCCCCTCCATGCATCATCAAAGGTTATACCCCTCAAGCCTGCCCCTCGGTCATTAGCCCATAGTCCTTCTCCCTCTCTGGGTCTAGAGTTCCCAGCCTCTCCATCTCTCTACATTATCGTCTCTGCTTCCATCTCTGGTGTCACTGCTTCTCTGGGTATGTTCCTGCATTCTGCTCTTCTCCCTTGATGGTCCCAGGGACCTCTGGTCCTGGACTGCAAAGTCAACCACTCCCCTCCTTTTGCTACAAAACGTCTGCCTTTTCATTTCCAACCCTCACAGTCAGTCATGATAGCAATTATTTACTGTTGTACCACATGAGTGTCATCCATATCTCCTTTCATCAGCCCCGCCCAGACAGATTGGATACTAGTCAGTGCAGATTCTACCTTCCTCTGCGCCCTCTGGATCGAGGCTCCCTCTTGAAAGCTTGTAAGCCAGTCACTTCTTGCCTTTTGTGTAGCCAATGTCCAAATTGCCCATCCCTGTCTATCCTGTGTATGGAGGTGGTGGGAATGATCCTCACTGTAAAGATTTGTTCCCTCTTTTGAGCTACTGCTTCCATAGGTGTAGGTCAAGTTCATCAAATTGTATCAGGTTACTCTTTTTTTTCCTCTTATTTCTCCTTCTAGGTGATCATCCAGCTATTGAAGCCAGGTCAAGTGGGTACTTACCAATATTTTTAATGAAAACTTCTATTCTTTTAATTATAACAAATATAATGTGCCCACAGGCCAACTGTGCAGGAAGATGGAGGAGATGTCATCTTTAAAGGTTTCGAAGATGGCATCGTGCAACTGAAGCTCCAGGGTTCTTGTACCAGCTGCCCCAGTTCAATCATTACGTTGAAAAATGGAATTCAGAATATGCTGCAGTTTTATATTCCAGAAGTAGAAGGTGTAGAACAGGTATGCCAATATTATATGATAAGTTAGAGTTTTTTATTAAATATTTAAGAAGAAAAACTTCTGATCGGCCTTTGATTCCAAGGGGTAGATTTTTGTTTTACATTTTTATCAGACTTGACAGCTCTTCATTTTAGAAGTAACGTTAGTGTTATGAGTACTATGAGTCAAAACCAACTCGACGACACTTAACAATAACAGCTGTGGCATCTTAAGCATTTTTACCAATACTACTTCACTTAATCTTCTGAAAATATAGCATAGAAAGTCAAGTCACTCTTGTTTTGTGTGTCAGGAAATAGATTCAGCGGACAGACTACTGCTTGTGTTGTAGAAAAATTCAGAAAAATGGGATTCACAACATCCTGCAATTTTATGGACCTGATTTAGAAGTGGAAGAGCCCCACTATGTCACATTTGTGCACTTCTTAAACGTGGAGGCAAGAAGCTCATCCAGAAATCTTACTTTGATTTGCAGTACAACAGAGCTCTGAGGAGGGTTGTAGAGCCTGCTCTATAGCATGGTGTCCACACTTTTTTCTGCCCCAAGATACCTAAGGAATATAGCACAGCACCTCAGCAGTGATGGTGACTTCACTGCAGTGATCCCTAACCAAGACTTACAGCCCCGTGGGGGAAGATGTTCAAGGAGGGAAAACGTGTGTGGAAATTACAAACTGGAAAATCTCCTCGGGGAATTCTGTGTCCTTAAAGGAGAGGGCATCTCCTCTCAGCCCCTTTGAGAATCACCTATCTCAAATCCATCCTTTTGGTTCAGCACATGCATCACCTTTCCCCAGTCTCATGCTTATGTTTACTTGTCCAAAGCCTATTTCTTTGTGTCTATTTCAACTTTATGTATGAGCTCTTTGAGAAACTTGAAATGCTATCTAAGTCTTCCTGTTCTTTTTAGTTCCTAGCTCTGTGTCCGTAACACGTCCTACATATGTTGTTGTTGTTGTTAAGTGCTGTTGAGTTGGTTATGACTCATAGTGAACCTGTATAGGGTTTCTGAGGAGCAGCTGGTGGGTTTGAATTGCTGACCTTGTAGTTCGTAGTAAGTATTTGAGAATGTTATTCCAAATTTAACAGTAATTCTGCCTAAAGTAGAAGTTAATTGACAAATGTTCCCAAGAATGGATATAAAATATCAATTCTTAGAAATACATACTTATTTTTACTTAGATTGGGAGAGAATTGTTTTTCCATTTGATTGTGTTAGGTCAGACCAGATTTGTTTGGATTCATTTGTTTGTTTCATTATCCCTTAGTTGGAATCCTGGTGTAGTGCTGTGGGGTTAGCACTTTACTTCTAACCACAAGGTTGGCAGCTCAAATCCACCAGCCCCTCCTTGGAAACCCTGTACAGGGTCCCTATGAGTCAGAACTGACTCATCGACACTTAACAACAACAACATCCCTTAGTTGCTTTTTTAAAAAATTGTCTTAGTAGACACTAAGTGGATTGACAAGACATTTTTATTCACTTCTTCAGGGTGGGGTGGCGAATCAGCAATCAGGTTATAAACTTTTGAGATGACATTTTAATTGTAGTAGGTGTGGTGAAGAGAAAAAAAAACTCTCAACGTTTATAACTCCTTGCCTCTACAAATGAGTTTGTCTTTGTGTATTACTCAGGTAAAAGTAAATAATGTATTAACTCCTGGGAAGAGATGAATTTTCTTCACATATTCATTAGTATTTTCCTTCTCTCATTTCTAAGGTTTAAGGCTGTTTTTCTCTGTAAATAAAAGTAAAATAAATTGCTGCTAGTATGGTCTTCTGTTTCCTTTTTTAGATTCATTTTTCTAATATATATTTTTATTACATTTTGCTGTGGTTCCTCAGAATATATCTAATTAAATAAGATATTTGGGGGGGGGGAATGACAATTACATTAGTCTTATGGCTAGGGTGCCAGTTGAGATTCTGTGACTAGACACCTTTTATGAGACAAGGAAAAGTAACTAACTAGTGCTTTAATTAGTTTGCTAAGTCTTAATTTTCTTTTATGTTGTTAGGATACCAGGTTATAATGCAAACAGTGTGCTTTGGGAGTTATCATAGATTTATTCTTACTAGACTGCCATGTATGTTAGTATTGTAGCATATTCAGTATAAAGCATGTAAGATTAAAGTCAGGAGAATAGCAATTTCTAATCTTTTTCTTAATCTTTCAGTTCTCTTTGTCTTTTGGTTTTAGGTTATGGATGATGAATCAGAAGAAAAAGAAGCAAACTCACCTTAAAATAATTGGGACTTTCTTTAAGCCCGCAGAAATGTGTATCTTGATAATATATATACCAAGCTTTTATTATTAATGCTAAGGAACATTAATAAAATAGATCCTTTCTTTAGAAAATATGTAAATATTCCATGTTTGCTAAACTCATATGAGTTATTTATAACGTTCTGAATCATCTTCTGTACATGTGGTTTTTATGCAGGGAAATTTTTATTTTTGTTTCTTTCTGTAATGTTTAAATGTTTTCCCATCTATTTATTTACTTTTCTTATATAGAAGTAAATAGGGATATTTACTTTTTAAAATATTCTAAAAGGACTGCTTTTTGTGAGATGTTTGAAACTATTTTTACTGAAACGTTTAGCTAGTTTGAAAAAGAGAAACAAAAACTAACTAGACTTCTGCATTAAAAATAGTATCTGGCTATTAACTTCCATGGAGTCCAGGTGTAGTGCTGTAGGATAAGCACTAGAATGAGGTTGGCAGTTCAAATCCACCAGCTGAACCTTGGAAATCCTATACCACCAGGTTGCAATGAGTCAGAACTAAATCAATGGTACTTAAAAACAGCAAAAAGTGACTCCCATTATAGTAGCTCCTAACTTCTTACTAAAAGACAAGAAAAACAAATCGGAATGCTTGCTTGATTAGAAGACAGAACTGATTGTAAAACATGCTTCACCTCTCTTTGAAATAAAGATGAGAGGATACTTTGGTCCGTCTTCCACAGGCTTCTCCTAACTCATGGATCCATAGTCTACACTTTGACAAAACTAAGGATAGTTATCCTTCTACCATTAGGATGCTGTTGCAGACAGGCAAAATAGTGAATTATCCTTCTTGCCGTTTTTCTATAGTAATGTAGAGACAGCAATTCACAGAAAATACTGAGAAAACAAAGATGGGAAGCAGCAGTGGTATATATTAAATGCCTGGAGTTCTAATCTCCCAAGTATAGCAATGAAGATAGGGATCAAGACAGAAAGCACTCCAGGAATTGTAAATGCTAGGAATCGAAGTTTTTATTTTTGTACGCTGGTTCAAAGAGCCAAACAGTGGGATAGGAGACTTTATTTCCCGATTTATTATAGAAGAATTCAGGCTAGGCTCTGAGAACTGCTTTGAAAGCTAGGTACATTAGCCTGTTTTAAATTAAAGCTATAGGAAATTTATATTGTGGTGGAGGTGCAGTTGTGACAACTTTTGGGTGTAGCGTGAAATAAGTGGGTGAAGTGGGTGGAGGATTAGATCTTTGAGTGAGAGGAAATCATGTAACTGAGTAGTGAAAGTATTAGATTTTCTATACAAGTGAGCACCCATAAAGAAAGAACCTTCTAGGGAGTCCTGGTAGCCTCATAGGATAAGCACTGGACTGCTAACCACAAGGTTAGTGGTTCAGACCCTCCAGTCATTACTCGGAAGTCCTATACAGGGTCATTATGAGTTGGAACTGACCCCACAGCACTTAGCAACAACAAGGCATAAGAAGCAGTGTAATCCGAGTTGGAAAGGTACAAAACGTACTTGGGGACTGAGAGAAGTTTGACTTGAGTGTAATGTGGAAGGGCTTAAATGGAAATGATGCAGAAGTAGGCATCATTTGAGAAGTGTAGAGAGTATTGCAGATACTCTTGATTGTCTACTCACAGACAGCCACCTACATACACAGGGCAGTCCTCTCGGTCATCAGTCATTAGCAGTGTGCCCAGTGAAGGTTCCAGCCCAGTTTCCAGGGGACCAGTTACAATGAGTCTAAATCAGGCTGTCTTAGTTGCTGAGTGCTGCTGTAACAAACATTAACACAAGTGAGTAACTTTAAAGAACAAAACTATAAAGTTTTGGGGGCTAGAAGGCCAAATAAGGGCCTTGACTCTACGGAAGGGTCCCTCCTTGTTGGTAGCCTTGGGCACATAACCACCACCCCACTCTGAAGTGTTAATAGCCGATGATGAGTTATGTAGATCTCCCGTGGGGGATCTGTATGAAATACGTTTGTACAGGTGGAATTTAGGCACTGTGAAAGGTAAGTAGAATTTTAGACAAAGGAGATTTCTGGTTTCTCTGTAATCATTTCTGTGGGTGGTAGCTCAGTGGTTACGAATCGGGCTGTTAATCTCAAAGGCAGCAGTTCAAAACTATCAATGGTTCCACAGGAGAAAGATGAGGCCGGCTGCTTCTGTAAAGATTTACAGCCTTTGAAACCCTATGCAGGATCGTTATGAGTCGGAACCAACTCCACAGCACATAACAACAACAATCTGAAGTCCTGGTATGGCGCTGCAGGGTAGTGCACTGGACTGCAGGGTCGGTTTGCATCTCAAGGTCAGTGTTTCAAGCTCACCGCTGCTCCTTTGAAACCCTACTAAGTCACTATGAGTTGGAACTGACTCGATGGCACTTAACAACATCTAGTTATGTTGAGTTTCAAATCTTGTGTACAAATTGGTTATTCTATGTGGAATCCCTATCCTGATATCTGTTTGCATGCCACCTCTTCAGGAAAGTCCTTGCTGTTTCTGTCAGAAAGATTTAGGGATACAGGTTAACCTTTTAAATTCCCCCTTTAGAGAAATATTCTATGACTTTTCATGTCTCCACACCAGATTAAATGTTTACTGAAAATTGCATATTCAGTACCTAGTATAGACACTAGAGCAAGAGGATAAAAAATATTTATTGAATGAAAAAAGCCCTATGTTTTTAACAGAATTGGTCTAGTATGGTACTGTAGGAAAAGCACTGAAATGCTAACCACAACGTCAGCAGTTCAAAACCCCCAGCTGCTCCTCACAGATTCTATACAGGGTCACCATGAGTCAGAACCGACTCAGTGGCACTTAACAATTTGAACAAGTAAGCAAAAGAGTTTCCGTTTTTCTAAAAATCAATGCTTTTTTATTATTGACCTAAAAGAGAAGCTGGAAAATGGCACATTTAATCAATCAAAGTATTTTTTTCATGTGAAAACCCTTCAGTATTTCAGGGCAACACTCGTAAGCTGTGTGTTGAAAGGCAACACATTTCTTAGATTAAGAAACAAATGGCTTTGAACATACATCCCTGCCTCAGAACCTTCACCTAGATCTCACTGATACAGCCAAGGAGTCAATTTATGACTTTATTGCTTTTGTACACTGGGAGCAAGCTACAAAGAATATGCCAGGAGCACCACCAAAGTTGTCATGTACAAACTTTCATGAGTGTGCTTAGTTTCTGAGTGTTGGGGGTAAGGTAGAATCCCCACTGAATAGCTTTTCTCTTTTCCAGATGGATCTGGTGAAAGGGGATGGGAGATGGTGGTGATAGGATTTTAAGATTCAACTGTGAGTTACTGTTGGCAGGATTAATCGTGATTGTCACAACTGTAATTGCACAAGATGTGTAACTAAAAGGGGAGAGTAGTTCATCTATCTTTTCAGGAAGAGGACCCAGGGCCATCAAGAAGGAAGAGCAAGAGTGGAGTATGAGATCCTACCCAGAAAAACCATGTTAGCAGAGACAGTGGCAGAGATGATGGCATACAGAGAGAGAGAGCAGCTGAGAACTCCAGGCCCATGGACTGAGAAAGGGCAGGAGGTTGGCTTGCAAAATGTGCCCTTTGGATGTTTAAAAGCATATACATTTTTTGTTTTGTATGTGTACATCAAGTATTTTTGCTTTGTTGATTTGTGAAAAATAAGATGTAAAAGGGAAGTAAGAGGGTGAAAGTAGGATAACTGTTGTTGCAGGGTGGGGAGTGTATTCATTGAGATGAAACAAAACATATGATTGGTTGAAAGAAAAGCTGATATTTTGTCTGTTTACCTTCACTCAGTACACAATAAAAAGTAAAAACAAAACAAAAAAAACGTATGAATAGCACCAGAACATTGTCAGATACAGTGCCAGAAGATGAGGTCCTCAGGTTGGAAGGCACTCTAAATATAACTGGGAAAGAGCTGCCTCCTCAAAGTAGAGTTATCTTTAAAGACGTGGATAGAGAAAAGATTCTGTGACCTTCATTTGCTGATGTGGCACAGCTCAAAATGAGAAGAACGAGTTGTTAACATCCATTAATAACTGGAACATGGAAATTCATGGAAAGTATGAATTATGAATCTAGGGAAATTAGAAGTTGTCAAAAATGAACTAAATATCATGATTCTAGATATTAGTGAGCTGAAATGGACTGGTATTGGCCATTTTGAATCAGACAGTCATATGGTTTACTGTGTTGGCATCAACACATTGAAGAGAAATGGTAGTGTATTCATAGTCTAAAGGAACATTTTGAGATCCATCTTGAATTATAATGCTGTCTGTGATAGGATAATATCCATATGCCTACAAGGAGTCCTGGTGTGGTGCTATGGGTTACTGCACCAGACTGCAAAGTTGTTTGAACTGCAAGGTCAGTGGTTCAAGTTCACCCCATACAGGGTCGCTATGGGTCAGAACTGACTCAATGGCACTTAATAACAAGGAAGA